TTTCAGTGCATCTTGGGTTGTTTTTGTTTTTTCATTTCGTTGGATATGTCTACGGTGTTATGATCCGGGCCAATTTCGGAGTACATATCACGAGAAAGCACAATGCCATCCAACTGCAAGGAAATGAATGACCTTGAGAGGAGAGAGAGGGAAAGAAGAAGAAGAAAAAGAAGAAGAAGAAGACGAAGAAGAAGAAGAAGAAGAGAAGAAGAAGAGGATGTACACCAGCAAAGACCACTGATAATTCCCTTCTTCTCGCCAACCACTCTCCTCCTCCTTTTCTCCTCCCCTCTTTATTCACAAAAAATAATAATAACAGTGTTGAATGGCTGAACCAGAATCAATGTCTGAATCCCTCTTCTACGGCAGGTACAACATGAGGTCCACCATAGCCATGGCCACCCTTCTCCTTCTGCTTCCGAAGGTCGAGGCTATGGCGAACTGCCAGGGCCTTGCCCTGCTGTGCAAAAGACAACTCAAAGCAGCTATGACTGCTTCGCTGAGCTCGCCATGCCTGACTCTGCCTCGACGCTTCTTGATGTAGCTCTACCCCGACGGGGCCTTCCAGATGCAGCGCCCACCAAGGTGATGAAGATGGCATCCACCATAGCCAGGTAAGTACCTGCGGCGCTCTCTCCTTCCTAGTCCTCGCCTTCCTCCTCCCCCAGCCCAAGCTCCACCACCATAGCCACGGTGGAGGGAGCTGGGCGCTCCTTCTTTCCCCAGCAGCGCTGCTGAGTCCAGCGCTGCTCCAGCCAGCGCTCCAACCAGTGTATCGCCAAACTTGCACACCGTGGAATGAGGAGGAGCACTTCGCTTCCCCTGGAGATATAGCGGCCTGCTTGTCTCTTGGGCGGTGACTTCCAGGCCTTGCGGCCTCCAAGCAACCGGTACCTCCTCCCTTTCGGAGGGAAACGTCATTGCAGAGTCTGATATTCCCATACAGGCCCTAGACTCAGACTACTGGTACCCGCCTAGACCTACTGTTACATGCTGTGCCTGCACACGGGCCCCAGTTGAGGGGCCCGACGGTTGCTGAGGTCCCCCCAGGCCGCATGCCATCAGACATGTGCCCTGGAGGCCCCCAGGCCGCAGACCCCAAATATAGGCCGCAGTATAGTTATTTATTTATTCAATTATTTATTTAATTACTTACCTGTTGTCCTATTCTGTGTCTGTGCAGACATCGTTTCGGACTTCCAGGCCCCAAGCAACGCCTTAGGCCAGGTACAGAGGGACGAGGCCCTTCCGAAACCAGGCACGTTTTGGCGCCTGACTCAACGGTACCAATGCCATTTCGGACCGCAGGCACCAAGGCAGCGCCTTGGGCCAGGTACACAGGAACGGAGCCTGATCAAGGCCAGGCGCGTTTTTGCGCCTGCTGCATCAGCAGCATGGTCTGGACGTCCGGTAGGGACCCATACCGGCTGGGCCGTTTCTGAGGCCAGCACCAGGTGGGCCCAGCCCGCCCAGCGCTACATATAGCTGGGCAGCGGCTGGGCAACGGACAGTTCAGGTAGCTCACTTCTCGAGCGACACACTGCTGGACCAGCGCTGCAGCTTAGTGCTGCGCTGAGGACTAGAGGTAGTGGAGTAGGTAGGAGAGGGCGGAGGCCATACCTGCGGACGGCAGACTTACCTGGCGCCATAGCTGGGACTCCGCTCGCGACCTGCACAAGACAGCAACCACGCGGCAGTCAGCATACGGCGGCCTTCCTGCAGGTGAGACAGCAGGGAAGACGGACTCTTCGCCTCCCCTCCACCTCGTCTCTCTCTCTCCCCCTCTCTTTCTCTCTCGCCTCTTTTCTCCTCCTTCTTCTTCTTCTTCTTCTTCTTCTTCTTCTTCTTCAGATACGAGAGTGAGAGAGGTTACAGGCAGAGGATACAGGCGGCAGTTACAGTGGGCATGATGCCCAGGATCTGGTTCGACATTTCTGAGGCAGACATTGATTGGACATAGGCAAGGGACTATTTTTGGAACTTCGCTATTGCGATCTTGGTTTTCTCCCTCGCCTCCATCTTCGTCTCTTGTCTCCCCCCATCTCACATCTGTGGTATCTCCCCATGTGCGTGTACAAGTCGTGTGCGGTCCGTCCTCCTTATCTCACATGTGTGATGTATGATGGGATGTCGTGTCAGTCCCAGTTAGGTCAGGACTTATATCCAAGTCTCTGCGCTACAATGTGCCATTTTGTATGTATCAGGATGTGCATTGCTTGTTGATGTTCCACTAACATTGCATTGCCCATTCAGTCCTTTTCATCACATTGCGGATCCTTGGCTCTACCTACATTGCCCAACTCGGCATGTATCACCTACCCTACAACTACTGGGCCTAAAAAACGCCAATTTTTGTCTTCTTCTGCTCGGCCTCGAGTACCCGACACATCTACCGCTACTTGGTGTGGTACCGGCCTACCTGCTACTTGAGTGTTTTTCTGCTGCTCTCGCGGGCCTTTTGCCCCGCCACTTGAGTGTTTTCCCCGCTGCAACCCTCAATGTCACAGCCACAGCTAAGTACCAGCCCTTCGGGCCTCCCACACGAACGAGTACCCTTGCGGGTCACACACGCACTCAAACCGACAAGCACTCAGACAGGTACGCAGACCAGCACGCACGCACACACACAGACTTAGAAAACTCAGTTACAAGCGGGAAACTCAACAAGGCATACATTCCATTGGCAAAACTCAGAAATCAACTGTGTGTCTCAGTCCGTGTTTGGCAGGTCCTTACAATGGTGTTTAACGTTGTTCTGTCCTTCTGGCATGGTGGGGGTTGTGACTACCGTTCTTACCTGAACATAACGCATATGCGCTGCATTCGTGTTAGAAAAAAAAGGTTAAAAAACAAATCGATGACTTGAATAGAAAGCATATGTTGTATATACGAATGTTCCGTCTGTTCGAACAGAACCCATCTGTGTTGTATTCAAATAGAAAGCAGCCTATGCGTTGTATTCATTTACAACACATATGTGTTATGTTCGGGGGAAGACGGTAACATCTCGGGATTGCAAATCCCTTGCTCGATAATACACTTTTCCCCCTGGCTTATGCCCTGCAAATGGTGCTGTTTCTCGATCAGGTGTCTCGGTCCTGTGGTCATTATTCCCACTCTATGGCGACCCCGACGAACGATGTTCTGTACTTTGTTTCTTCGCTCAGGGTGGGCCAACGTGATGTGTAGGAGCTATGCCGGTATGAAATATCATACTTTTGGGTGCACACACACACACACACACACACACACACACACACACACACACACAAACAAACAAACAAACACACACACACCCACACCCACACCCACACACACACCCACACACACAGACTCCCAGGATCATAACACACACCCACACCCACACCCACACCCACACCCACACCCACACCCACACACATCGGGATTGCAAATCCCTTGCTCGATAATACACTTTTCCCCCTGGGTTATGCCCTGCAGATGGTGCTGCTTCTCGATCAGGTGTCTCGGTCCTGTGGTCATTATTCCCACTCTATGGCGACCCCGAAGAACGATGTTCTGTACTTTGTTTCTTCATTCAGGGTGGGCCAACGTGATGTGTCGGAGCTATGCCGGTATGAAATATCATACTTTTGGGTGCACACATTCAAACACACACACACACACACACACACACACACACACACACACA